CCCGGCGGCAGCTGGGGGTTGCCGCGGCGCCGGGAAGCCCCGCTGCGAAGCGGAGATGGCGGACGAGGCGCTCTTCCTGCTGCTGCACAACGAGATGGTGGCGGGGCTGTACCGCGCCGCCGAGCAGGGCGAAGGGGTGAGTGGGGCCGCGGCCGCGCTGGGGGCCGCCCGGCAGCGGCCGGGGCTAACGCTGCGGCGGCGTCTCGTATCTTGCAGGAGAACGGCCGCTGCACCACCAAGCTGGAGAGCATGGGCTTCCGCGTCGGGCAGGGGCTGATCGAGAGGTGAGTCCTCGCCTCAGCCTCGCCCCTTGCAGCGCTCCTTTTCCTGCTCCCGGGGTCGGCAGGCGTCGCTGCTCCTCGGGGGTTTTCCCCTGCGTCTGCCCGGCGAGCGCCGACGCCCCCTCCTTCCCGGCCTGCTGGGGCCCGGAGCGTTCGCTCGGTCGGGGGAAAGCTGCTCGCCGCTCTGAGCGGATAGGGGGTTATGCTGCGGATGTGCTCCTCTCATTAGGCGTTCTGGCATCCTCCCTTTTGGCATCTCGTTCTTGCCGGGGCCTGTGTTTGGATAACACAGGACAGTTTTGGACTACGTATTTGGGAAAGTGCTTTCAATCATGAAAACTGAGTCAGCCTATATGGTTACTTTTAATAGTTATAATCCTTTTTAATTGCACTTTTCGTAGACCTGCTTTTCCATGCTTCCTACTTCTGGTACGTTTCATGATTTTCTAATCTGTTTCTTAAACATAATTTTGTGATTGGCTACTCTATTTCATTTTTCTAAAGCACTGTCAGCTCTTGGAACTTGACGACCGGGCAGAAGTTCCTTGTTTCCCCAGGCTCTTTGGGGATGCACGATGACTTGCTGCACATCCAACTTCAGCGCCCTCATTCCGAGGTCGTGTGGAGACTCTTGAGCTTCTGAAGTCATGCTTTCGTTGAACAAAGTGGTGCTTTAGTGCCAGACAGAGACCCTCAAGGAGGATGAAGAGCAAGAATTCTGAAATAAGCAAGAGAAAGGGGTCCCTTTTTGGGAAACAGGAACAAGTTTTACATGTTTGTTCCTATGTGTTAGTGCTTTTTTGCAGTAGTATAGGTGTGAACTTTTTATCTTCTAGTTAGACATTTAGTTAAAGAGAAAACTGATGAAGTGCTTTGCACCTTTCTGTACTGAAACTGTCTTTAATAATCATACAATTAAACCCATTTATTCTCCTGTCATGTTGCAGGTACTAAGATAATACTGTGTTGCTCTTCAGTTAAAATACTTGCATGAAGAGTGATGCTAGAATGATACTGTACAATGGTTGGAAAACTAATTTCCATAACGGCCTCAAAAATAATGTTGCACAGGACCATTTTTTCGTGTTTTCTTTTTCTATTTAATCGGTCAAGTTGTGTGTACCTTCATTACTGATATCTTTCTCACTTATCTCTTAGGTTTACAAAAGATACTGCCAGGTTCAAGGATGAATTAGATATTATGAAGTTCATTTGCAAAGATTTTTGGACAACTGTTTTCAGAAAACAAATAGATAACCTAAGGACTAATCATCAGGTACTAATGCTGTAGAATAAGATTTAACTTACAAAATCAGAAATAGTTTCAAGTTACTACTGCATTTTTTGTTTTTTCTTGGTCTAGAATTAATTACCTGATAAGAAACCCCAAATGTTCTGTATTTGTTTTGTTTAAAAAGCAGATTTTTAAGGTTCATGTTAGCATGTGTCTTCAGAATACAATTTGATAATTGCTAGTGATGTTTTTATTGCCATCCTATTTGAAAAGACTAAATGCTTTGACTTTCATATGTGCCATTGCAGAGTTACGAACTGACAAGACAGTAATGGTTACAGTTGATTAACATTTAAACAGGAACTTTTTAATGTATCTCCCAATGAATTTTAGTAGAAAACTAGTGTGAGAAAGTGATATTGCTGTCTTAATGGCTATTTAAATAGAATGGCTGCCTTGAAGTAATTTTTTTATTTTGAAGAATATTTACAGTTTTTTGGCAGTTGACACACTTAGTTGGACTCTACTGAACATACTTGTATAAGAAACAGCTGAAAAACTTCCCAGATTTGCATGTTGGTGACATTGTGTTGTATCTATGTCCTTTCCTATATCAACGGCCGCAATTCTTAAAGCAAGATCAAAATAACTTAAGGACCCGTTTTACTAGAGTAAAAAATCTTCTTCCTTTTGAATGACTTGGTTTTCTTATGGCCATTTTCCTGTTGTACCTAAGTAGGAACAAGAGAATTTGTACAAGGATTGTGCCAAATAAAATAGGTTTGACTTTTCAGTGAGCTGTTTATCAACTTATAGCTTTAACAGATAATAATTACCTTAGAAATCTGTTTTTTAATTCAAAGAAAGCTGCAGTATTGAGCTGAGATCTCAATTGTATATGCAGCCTTAATTTAACTTCAAGGGTTATGAAGTTCCAAAGTGGCACAGCCATTAGCAAAGCAATTAAAATGACAGGTATAGATTAAGCTATGTCATAATTATGTGTCATAATTTATTAAAATGCGTATTGTGGCACAAGATTGTAATGTAGAAAACTCTAGACTTTGACCATCTGCTGGGTGTTGCTTGTATCGCTATTAAAGAAGATAATTGTCACTGAATTTGAGAATAAGAATAGTGACTTGCATACCAAGTGAAGATTAAAATTTGAATGAAAAAAATCAGCATGCATTTGATATATTAACAGAGACTTTCTAATATGGAACTATTGTTTCTGAGCACTGGAAGGACTCTTCCAAGAAGAATGTACATAAACATTTTTTAGAGTTAACTGATCGTATTATTGTCTAGGGGTTCTGTTGTAATCTCACAATTAAGCATCTTTTGTTTTGATATTTCATGTAAGTAAATAATACAATTTAAACTTAAATCACAAATGTCTTCATCTAAAATTTCATTTTTCAACCTGAGAACATTTATATTGTATATACAAATCAAATCGCTTTACATAAAATGTTGATTACATGTTACTGTATATTCAACTAAAAAACTTTTTGTTTTTTTAAACAGGGTATTTATGTCCTTCAAGACAATAAATTTCGTCTCTTGACACAAATGTCTGCAGGAAAGCAGTATTTAGAACATGCACCAAAGGTACCTTTCAGTTTTATCCTTGGGATCTACAAGTTTGATTTGAATTATCTTGATCTATTAATAATAACTTTAAATTTTGTAATTGGATGGATACAAACTCTTTGAAAGGGCAGCTAAAGTTTAGTCTCCAAAACCTGTGCTTTTTAGAAATGCACCTTGTTTCGGAACAGTGGATTTGATTTATGGTTCAAGAAACGGTCATAGTCATTGTGAAACTTGCTGTTCTCATGTTTGAGTTACTTGATGGTAGGAGCTGGTCTGCCACTATCACACAAATCCTTTCTTTCTCTTTGGAAAGCCTGTGCTTTCAGAAGCGTTTTTTAAATTTTCAAAACGTATTTGGAAGCTGCTATTTGTTACCTAGAACAACCTTCTGAGATTATATGAACATTCAGGAAGATCTTCCACCAATTAAAAGTAGTTTTGAGTGTAGATGTTGAGTTAGGGAAATAGTTTAGGTAAGTAAAATCAGTGCCTCTGCAGAACCTCTTATAAAGCACTTCAGGTGGATGTAAGAAATGGGGCACTCAGTTCCATTTTATGGTTTCTTAATTCTTGCTCTTCTTAGTAATCACAGTTGCAGGCTACTGTTCTAGGGATTTTTTTTTTTTTGTGTTTGGTGAGATGTTTCTTCTGTTTTGCAACATATACTCTAAATAACTGCAGGCCCTTGTATTCTAAGATGCGGCCTGTACAAGAATGCTATCTTGGACTGTTTCTCCTTTGTTGACTTTAATACCAGCTGTTAATTTCAGCCAAGTCTTGGGAATAATTGTTTAAGGATATTAAGTTCCTACAGGTTTAATAGAAATAGAAACAAATGACTCAAGATAGCACCTCTAACAACAGAAATCTGTATTGTGAGCTCTGCTGCACCAAATATCAGAGCTTTCATTTGTTAGAGACATGGTCTCTCAAGCACAGGAACAAAACCTCCATAGTTTTGTATTGTCTAAGTGTTAAGTCTTGTTCTTGAGTACTTAGTTTCAATCTTCAGCAACCCTTTAGCTTCACCCTTGACACTTATTTAAAGTGCAACTTTATATTTAGTATTTAGCATTTACCTGTGGACTAATCAGAGGAGGCCTATCGAATTTGGGAATAAAGAGTATTGTAACAGCTGAAGTTTCATCAATGCCTGCATGTAAGTAGTTCTCGGAGTATTCAATGATTAGCTTACTTGGTAACTTTCCTTCCTGACTTCATCACTGTATAAGCATTTATCAACATGGGATTAGTTTGAAGCTGCTGGGCCATAGGAGTCAGGGTATGACTTGTCACTAAATGCTTATTGTTTAGAAAATACTGACAAAGGGTGAACCTCTATGAGACCGAGTAGAAAGCAAAACTAAAAAGTTCTATGTACATTTGGAAGTGTCAGATGCATAAGGATGATGTACATTCAGAAGGCTGCCTGAACAAGGGAAGATAAAAATAACTACATATATGCTCTTTCTCTACAGAAGTCATTAAGAAAGTTAGTAAGTGAAGTCTATTCTAACTACCCAAGCTGCTTAAGGTGGATTTAGAAATTTCCATAGACTTTGCACAAATTTTAAATTTAGCTGACAAAACTGTTGTGATGTGGGACATGGATTGACTTAAAGAAAAAAAGAAAGGAAAGAAAAAGCTGTTCAGCTGGAGTTAAATTTAAATGCTAAATTTAAATAATGGCTAGATTGTTCACAACTAAACTGTAAGATTGAAATGTTCCTTGCTATTCCTTTTAACAAAATGATTACAAGAAAATAATTACTTGGAAAAATAATTCTAATGGTGGGTGATACTGTGATCTGACTTTGCTTTTTCTTTTCAGGTAAATTTCAGGTGATGATACAGAAGATGTAGAGCACATTTAAATCTGGGTATCTACCTTAAAAATCCTTTCTGTGTGGATTCAGTTTCTTGATTCAGCTTTGTCTTGTAGCTTGTAAATTATAGCAGTGTGCAGGCAGCACAATTTCAAAATATATAATAAAAAGTTCATCAAAATAACTTAACACTATCCTTGTATCTTGGTATGAAATTTATTCTATACCAAGGTATTAATGTCCACATTGTAAAAAACTGTCTACTCAAAAGTTTTCAGCAAATTATTTTAATTACCAAAACAGCATGTATGGAAGACCAGAGGCATGTTTTGAAAACAGAGTGAAAACCTGACCAAGACTAAATTAGTTTCTTAATCTAACGTGTTTTGTGTCACCTAACATGAATGCCCAACTGCTACCTTTCCCTATTCACTCTGAACTGTGAGGCAGCAATTGCTTTTGTATTATTTTGAGGAAGCCATTAGCATGTGAACCAACAGCCTTCATTAAAGGCATTCAGCGGAGGCTTAGTTCTGCTGAAGGAATGATATGTAGAAGAGAGAACTTACTTCTACATAGTTAAACAGTTTCTCCTACCTCCCTAAAATTAGGAGCTATTTTTTGTGTCAGAATAATTTTACAGCTAAGGTCATCTGTACTGGCCAGAGAAGGAAATTTGTTTTAGCTTGTTGTGCGTAAACTCAATATTAATGTAACTGTTTTTAATTGCTAGCTACAACTCACTTCTGTAATGAATGTGTGCAGGAGGATGATTAGGCCTGCAAGAAGCTATAAAGACATCACCAAGACTCTTGAGGACATTGGGGTTTGCTAGATACTACTTGTTACAAGATTTGCGTAACAATACATATCTTGCTATAGGTAAGAATGGAAACATCTTGTTAAAACTTTTAATGAATTTTGCTGTAAGACCTTTCTGTTGGCAGGCTCAGGCCTTATACTTTCAAATGAATCATAATAGGCACTTATGGTGTTTATTCTGAACTGTGAGAATGCCTTGTGACAGTGATTCAGTTTCTACTTTGAGAGCAGTAACAGGCTAACTAGAAAAGCTAACATGTTAAAACAGCAGCTTTGTTATAACTACCTTCTGTGTTGGGAGAAGTGTATGTTGTCCAGTTGCATGGTGGGCAAGAACAGTGGAGGCTGTTCTTCCCTAAGCTCTAGGGAAGGTCTGAAGTTTGCAATGGATCAAACCTTGTCTAGATAGCTGTTACAAGCTGCCAAGCTATAGATTATAAATGTTATAACCAGGAGTTTATTAGACTTGATCTTAAGATGTGACCAAATGCTGATCTTTCTGGGTATGTGAATGCTAGTTCAGATTAGTTGTAGCTGAGTAACTTGACAGTTCTAGGAAACATCTAGAGCAGAATTTGAACTAGCAGAATGCTGTCCCTGTTTATAGAACTAGCAAAGATGAAAGTAACTACAGTTGTATGGTACTTGGTGGGGGATCAGCTGTTCAGCTGATTAAAAATACTGGGTTCTTATACTGGTAGTTTATAGGAAGGCTCGGGTTGTTGTTAACCTTTGTAACTGATCTGTTTGAAATTGTAGGGCTAGAGAGTAAGCTAACTAGTATTCTTGTATTTCATGGGTTCTTCAATTGACAACTCATCCCAATTTCAACATGCTGAAAATGTGGCTGAAGAGACTAGAAATCAACTTGCACTACATGTCTAATAGAGGGATATCTCAGTGTCATCATGTTTTAGGCATGTGCAAAGTGGTAGACATTCAGTACCAACATATACAGAATCATTGTTACTTTCATCTCCAGAATGAAAACTCTAGTAGTTACAGTAACTCAGTTTGACTCTTCACTCGACAGTTAATACTACCATTCCAGATGCAAAAGTGCCAATCATTCAAAGACATATTAAAGGTTTATCAGTAAGTGGTTGTGGTTAATGATTATTTTTAATAGTGAGGAGAGGGACTTAAATCCTACAATATACAGAAAGCAGATGTCAGTTAATATTGTGTATCAATTTGCTGTTATCAGCAGAACTCACAGTTCCTTTAACACCGATGTTTAGTTGTTGAAGACAATTTGAACCAGAGGGAGTTGTGTATATACCAAGCAGATGCTGATACTCTTGGCGAAGCACTCCATGTTAAATAGGCAAGCTAATGTATTTGTAAAGATACCATACAGAAAATAAATTTGTTCATTCTGATTAATAAATGCTTCTATTAAAAGCATTGAATACAGCTCTGTAATTTTCACTGGTTTCTGCAACTGTTTACTAAAAAATAATAAAACAAACATTACTACTTCCTGAGTAGTAATACTAAAATAACTGTTTCAGTAACTTAGTTGCTATACTTGAGCTGCTTAGCAGTGCTTAAGCTTGGGAACCAAAGCTTGAAAAAAACACAGTCCTAGTTGTCTAGATTTCTACAGTAAGGCTGCTGTTAAATAGTATGAAGAATGAGAAAAACCACAATGTTTAAGAACACTCTTTAAAATGCTTCCATTTTATTAAAAAAGCCCTCAGTAGGTTTGTGTTAGATAAAGAACAATCATTTGTAATGTAACCTCAGACTTCACCTAATAGCAGTGTCCACAGGATTACTCAGATGGTAGAAATTTCTAACCAGGAATGTACTTTACAAAGATAATAGCTTGAGAGATGATGCCAGACACTTCATTGACCATTTTATGATGATGGTGATGATGACATTGGAGACAGTGACAATCTTGTGCTAAAGTTCAGCTTAAGTTACTCATAGCTGTCCCAAATGCATTATCGTGAGGGTGTTCTGAAGGCATTGTATAGTGCTTCAGGTCTGAACAGTGCAGTGTCTTGCTCTTAGCTCTGATAATGCTTTTTGTACCATGGCAACACAAAATACCTGATATTCTCAAAACAGTCTAGGAAGGCTCATCAGCCAAGTCACGTTGATCGAAGTACCTAGTGAAGTGGAACACAGTAAGAAACCTGTAATGCAACATACTCCTTTGCTCTGAGTTGATAGACCCCTTGCTTTCTAGCTCTTCTTTTAGTTTTTCTATCATAATTAGAGCTTGCAGTTCAGGGGGCTCATCCAAGGCAACCAGTAAGCTTAATTTACTTTTAGGTTTATCTTAAGTCCTTTTAGCTGAGGATATTTGCTACATAGGCCCAGGGCATTTTAATTGACTTCCACTTTAAAAGAATCTAGGTTAGGACAACAGTAATCACATATTTATTCTGGACATATTTTGCTGTTTTAGGTATGCAAGTTGCATTACCTGCTAACTAAGCAGATTATCAAGTTCAGAGCTGATATTTGTTCTTCATTCTTGTTCTCCTGAAAGAGAAATAAATATTAGAACAGTTCTTTTGTTACCTGTGTCAAACAGAAAAGCTGTTACCTGCCATGTTACATGCTTGTAATATTCCCTTCATTCTTGAGCAAACTTAGGACATGAAAAATTACTTACCAAGACTTCAAGAATTGAAAAATCATCCTCCTAATAATTTGCTAAGTTCAGCAAGTCCTTTGTGCAATGTTATATTAGATCTTACCTCTAGTACTCTGACTTCAGAGCATCGTCTTGCCAGCTGTCGAATAAGGGAGTGAGCTTCAGGTAGCAAAGGTTTTTCAAGGCATGCCAACAGTGCATAAAGCCATCTACCCTGCGTGGATTCAAATAAGAAAGTTTTAATTATGAGCATTTCTTTGAAGTTTCTTGGAGTTCTTGTTATATAGAGTAGGCCTGAAGCATAGGTCTCAAAACAAAATTGCATTTAAGTGCTACTGCCAGAATTAAAGTTTTAAAGCCAAATGAGACACTACACAGTAGAATTTTGTGCCTCTAGATAAGCTTCTTGTGAGCAGTACTCCTGGCTTTCCTGATTTTTTTTTTAATACTAGCCAAGATATAAATTAATACAGCTCACACTATTAAAGTCTGAGGGAAGGATTATTTTAGTAATATCTAAAGATTATTACCTATCTATTAATTTTTAACTTCACAAATGGTGGAAAAACATTCCTGAACAGTGAATGTATCAAGTCAGATCTTTGTGCAATTAATGCTGTTGGATCAGCTTTAAGATTTGCACCACTGTGAAAACATGTCCTTAGCATTTTACTTCACTGAATTCTACTGCATGCTTATCAAATATAACTTCTGCTACCAGTCTAACTTCTTAATTCCAGTGTCTAGTGGCTTTCATTATGGGAATAAACTAAAAGTCAACATGCACATTCTCTGCAGCATATTGGTTAAAAAGAAAACAGTCCTACAGAGAAGGACAGAACATGAAAGGCCTTTAGTGAAACTGTGTTTAGTATTATGGAAGTAATTTTTCATTACTCTCTTGCTTTTTGGTACTGAATGAGATAAGATGCATCCACCAAAGTCTTCTGTAGATACAATGCCATTACATAGGTAGTCAGTTTAGTTGTGGCCAAACTCCATTCTAATGTACCCTGCCAATCAGAATTTCGTACTAGGTTTAATTTGTCACCACACTAATGCAGCTAAGCTTTCTCATCTGTGCTGCATGTGGAAAGATTAAACATGTCTTTGCCAGCACACTGTCATGCATCTCCAAACTAAAATGGCCATGTCGGTAAATACAGTGTGCATCACCCTGACAACTTAAGCTGGTCAGAATCAAAGCTGCTGCAGTCTGACCCTCTTTTCTCCCCAGTGCCAACACTCATCTAACCTTGTGGTTTAAGTTAGTGTGGGGAATGATAAAAAGGGGAGAGGGTTTTGGCAGTACTTGATAGATCTGTATCTGTTATGTTTTGTAATTAGCCTTGCAAAAAGTTCTGTGAATACTCATTTCAGTATCTAATCAAGGAAGTTTTGAAAGTAACTGAATACAATACGTGCATCTAGAGAACTCTTTAGAAAGTAGCTTTATACAAATCATGAACAATTTATCCCTTGTTTAATGCGTTCATGTGCAAGTAGTTAGAATGAATTAAAAATTACCAGTTCTGGAGTAAATTTTTTCTCTCCAAACCAGCTTATCAGGTATTCTAAGACACTGGTTACTGTTGCCTTCAAAAGAGGAACAAAGAGACAATACAATATCTGCAATGTTTTGTTTTGCTGTCCTTCTATCCCAAGAACTGTATTATATAAAAAGCAATTTGATTTTTTTAAAATATACACATTATGTATTTCTACTCCACTGTGATACTATACGGTATTTATTCCAGGTTGAAGTTACATATAAGGGTAGAGTAAGTGTTAAAGCACCAGTTCCTGGAAAAAACTTTTATATAAAATTGTCCTAGGTTCAGCTAGGAAGTAATTTTCTGTGTTAACAAAAAGTTATGGTTAAGTTACAGATTAGGAAAGAGGCATCAATCTTGAGTGGTTGTTTCTTTATAAAGGTGACTAGTGGGAAACATAGTAAAGGAAGGGTAAGTGTGATTCTTCTAGGCTTGCAACGTACGCAAGAGTTCACTATCAAGTTGAAGGACCGCACTTAAAAAACACTAAATGGGAAATATTAAAAACACTGCCAAGCACCTAATGGGGCATTCAACAAAAATTCAAAGATTAAATGTTCTACAGAGAAATTACAAGGACAAAATACTCTTAAAACTAGTCATGATAAATATTTACTAGTAAAGTTGTTTGTAGCTGAAGGCAAGATTATGTGTTTTCCTTGTAAATATACAATAATTGTTGTAATAAACAATTGCCTACTCTAGCACAGAAAAATAGGTAAGACCTCTACAACAGATAGAATACGAGAAATAATGATTTATGTAATGTCCCTATGCGATTTTAAGAGGTAGGCTTACCTGACTCATTCTGCTTACAATACTTAGCAAAGGGGGAAAGCCCACCTGAAAAAAATCAAGTTCAAAAATGCAGACATAATCATAAACATTTTTGTTCTAATTTAGAACATACTAACATTTTGATGTGATGCTCAGACATTTGTAGTGATTTGAAAGTCTGTTCTGAGCTTTGAAATATAGATATATATAAAAAAAAAATCTTCAAGCAAGTTCAAGATAAGGTCCAGTCAAATTTGGTATCAAAGAACCTTGTTTTTACTGCTATTTGTTAAAGTTCTGTTTTTTCAAAATGATGCAGTGAAGGGCATGTTTGTAGGATAGCATGTATGAGGACAGAAACCACATATCACTATTCAACAAAACATTAAAGCAGACTATGCAGAAAGCTTTCCATTCAGTTCAGTGAGCAACAAAGTGATGTGATTTAGCTGGTAACAGATGAAGGAACTCTTTAACTTTTTGACTGAAGGGATAGACTTTTCCTCTGCATCACTCAGCTTCCACTTGAAAGGGAAGAAAAACTGGACTTTCTGGGCTCATTGGAGAGCCTACTTCCTATTTAGCACGAAGTGGTAATAAACTGTAGGATTGTTTCTGGCAGTTACTCTTGAAAATAGCAGCTGAAAATTAGATAGAAGTCCTATACTCACCTTTATGTAATCAATTCCTAGATTTTCATTATCAGATAGTGCATCTATTTCTGAGTATACTTTTTCACCCAGGCAGAACTTCTTCCAGCCTTCCTCATCCTCCGATTTTGGCTGAAGT